TGCAATGGCACAAGACTGGTGGTGAAGAACATGTTGCCATGCTGGAAGCTACAATACTGACAGGAAATGCTAAAGGGAGAGGACGTTTTTTATACCAAGGATACACTCATCACTGACCTGCCATTTGAGTTCAAGCGACTTCAGTTCCCGGTTAAAGTGAGCTTTGCCATGACCATCACAAAAGCCGAGGACAGTCCTAAGATGGTTGGCCCTAAACTTGAGTGTTTCCTTGTTTCTCTCTTGGACAGTTCTATGTTGGATGCTTAGAGTAGAACTCCTGCAAAAATCTATACATACTTGCGCTATTGTGGTAAAAATGTGGTACATAATGCTACAGTGAGACAATGTGGGCCTCCAGGTGGCGTCTGCAGTGGCTTCTTGAAAAGAAGAAGCCGCCCAGAACGTTTAAAATAAGTTATATAAAAATGCACTGGTATTGTTATAATGACTAAGGCCAACAATAAGTTATATAAAATGCACTGGTATAATGTGTATGTGGTTGGTGTGCATATTTACGCGGAATAATAATAAAATAATAAATGGGTTGTATGAGAATGCAAATTATTTGTGAGAATTGTGTACAGTTACACCTTGATAAGTTGATCGTAATACAGTCTTGGCATGATGCTATTTAACACTATACTTTATACAGCAGGGATAGCCCAGCTAGATTCGAGGACAGTTACCTGGCATAATGCTCAACACTTCGAAAGTATTAATGTACTGCAGCATCTGTTTTGGTCTCATCCGAGGAATTTAGTTCTTATGAAAAGGGCCAAAGAGACAACAGGTTGGCCAGCTGTGTCTTAGTAATAAGGGACATATATGGTAAGTAGGTGCTTCTTGAAACTTCTAGAGGTGAGGCAACAATCTGCATAAACTCGGAATTGTATAGGAGCAGCAATAGTCACACCTGACTCTTGCTGTATATGTCAACGTAGTCAGCAATAGCATAGTAGATAGTAGGCAGCTATAAACGGGAGGTACTATCGCCCAGAAAAATATTGGAAGCATAATGTGTTGTCTAATATGGTAGACCCTGCTGCCATATGGCATCACGAAAATTGTGACCAAGTCCCAGAGTTGCTACTAACTACTGGGGCCTCAACTGACGTCACCGCGGTTGCTGGAGGATCAGCTTTTTTCACACTTCATTTTTCCAACATTCGCGGCCTGAGGTCCAATTTCTCTTCTGTGGAGCACCATCTGTTAACCTTTTCCCCTGACCACATACTACTTTCTGAACTTCAACTGATCAAAGTAGCTTCACCCAAACCTTTTCAAGTCTCCATCTACAACCTTTATATCTCTATCCGTTCTAAGGGAGGTGTAGGCGCCTACTGCAACACACGTACACCTATAGCTCGACTCACGGATCTTGAATATTTTCTTTATGATGTCATCTGGCTCAAAATATCTCTACTAACTATGACTATTTTTCTTTGTTTCCTATACTGTTCTCCCAACTCTACCAACTATTTGGGACTCTTTGACTATCTCACTTCTTGCCATGAATCGTTGCTATCCACACACCCTAACACCGAGATCCTCTACCTAGGTGATTTCAATGTACATCACAGAGAGTGGCTTGGCTCTGCAAGGGATGACCCAGGTGGAGCTGAGGCACTCTCTTTTTCCTTACTTAATGGTCTGGAACAAACAATTAAACACCCTTAGTAACATTCTTGATTTTAATTTTACCTCTAACCCCTCACACTATTCATATCTATTTCTGCCCCTTTAGGGTCTTCTGATCACAATCTTCTTTCTATTAAATCAAACTGGGCACGACCACCTCCTCCACCCCCCTCTAAACGTCAACTATGGCATTATCGGGAGGCAAACTGGCAACCCTTGCGAGATTTCTTCTCCGACTTTCCTTGGGATGCATGTTGCTTTTCCACTCGGGACGCCTCGATATGTGCTGACAGCATTGCTGGGGTTATACTGGGTGGTATGAGGGCATTTATCCCATCTTATACAAAAACTTTCACATTACAATCATGGTTTGATCGCTCCTGTTCTCTTGCATGCAGGGCGAGAGAAAGGGCGTATCAAGTTATGAAACTATCTGCTTCTCCTATTACCCACTCCTCCTTCATTACTTATAGGAATCGTTGGGCCAAGTGTATTCAGCTGTAGGAAGCTATAATTATCTACAAAGTTGCAGGTATATTGAGCAGTGACCCTTTCCACCCTGCTATATGGCAGCGAGGTATGGGTCACATATAGGAGGCACCACAACGCATTTGATAACTTTCACCAACGTAGTCTACGTTCCATCCTCCGAGTTCGAAGGGAAGACAAGAAAACAAATGCCAGTAATCTCGCTGACACCTGTAGGAGCATCGAGGCTACCATTATTCATGAACAACTACGCTGGTCTGGCCATGTTTCCTGCATGGACGACAGTAGACTGCCAAAGCAACTTTACAGTCACCTAAAAATAGTATATGTAAAGCTGGTGGGCAACTGAAAAAAGTATAAGGATAGTCTTAAGAAAAATATGAAAAAGTGCCAAATCGACCCCCCCCCCCCACCTGGGAGTCGATTACTCTACACAGTAACACTTGGACAAGCACTACCGAGAAGGTGTCAATATTTTCCAGTTAGCCCTATTGTATACCGAGACATTATATTACAACACCATCATTACAACATCATCATCATTACGAAGCAATTATCATCACAACATCATAACCACAACAAAATTATCGCTGCAACATCACCCTGACATCATAGTTACAACATCACCATCATTACAACACCATTATCACAAAAACATCATATGAAACAACACTATCATCACTTCACCATCATAACTACAAAACCATCATCACTACGAGAGTTACAGCATCACTACACCAGATACATAAACGTACATCATCACTACAAGAGATACATAAAATTACAACATCCTCACTACAACACATACATAAAACTACATCATCACTACAACAGACACAAAACTACAACATCATCACTACAAGATATACATAAAACTGCAACATCATCACTACAACAGATACAAAACTACAACATCATCACTACAACAGACACAAAGCTACAACATCATCACTACAACAGACGCAAAACTACAACATCATCACTACAACAGACACAAAACTACAACATCATCACTACAACAGATACAAAACTACAACATCATCACTCCAACAGACACAAAGCTACAACATCATCACTACAACAGACGCAAAACTACAACATCATCACTACAACAGACACAAAACTACAACAGCATCACTACAACAGCCACAAAACTACAACATCATCACTACAACAAACGCAAAACTACAACATCTTCACTACAACAGATACACAACTACAACATCATCACTACAACAGACACAAAACTACAACATCATCACTACAACAGATACAAAACTACAACATCACTACAACAGACACAAAACTACAACATCATCACTACAACAGATACAAAACTACAACACCATCACTACAACAGACACAAAACTACAACAACATCACTACAACAGACACAAAACCACAACATCATCACTACAACAGACACAAAACCACAACATCATCACTACAACAGACACAAAACTACAACATCATCACTACAACAGACACAAAACCACAACATCATCACTACAACAGACACAAAACTACAACATCATCACTACAACAGACACAAAACTACAACATCATCACTACAACAGACACAAAACTACAACATCATCACTACAACAGACACAAAACTACAACATCATCTACAACAGACACAAAACTACATCATCACTACAACAGACACAAACTACAACATCATCACTACAACAGACACACAACATCATCACTACAACAGACACAAAACTACAACATCATCACACAACAGACACAAAACTACAACATCATCACTACAACAGACACAAAACTACAACATCATCACTACAACAGACACAAAACTACAACATCATCACTACAACAGACACAAAACTACAACATCATCACTACAACAGACACAAAACTACAACATCTTCACTACAACAGATACAAAACTACAACATCATCACTACAACAGACACAAAACTACAACATCATCACTACAACAGACACAAAACTACAACATCATCACTACAACATCATCACTACAACAGACACAAAACTACAACATCATCACTACAACAGATACAAAACTACAACATCATCACTACAACAGACACAAAACTACAACATCATCACTACAACAGACACAAAACTACAACATCATCACTACAACAGACACAAAACTACAACATCATCACTACAACAGACACAAAACTACAACATCAACAGACACAAAACTACAACATCATCACTACAACAGACACAAACTACAACATCATCACTACAACAGACACAAAACTACAACATCATCACTACAACAGACACAAAACTACAACATCATCACTACAACAGACACAAAACTACAACATCATCACTACAACAGACACAAAACTACAACATCTTCACTACAACAGATACAACAACATCATCACTACAACAGACACAAAACTACAACATCATCACTACAACAGATACAAAACTACAACATCATCACTACAACAGACACAAAACTACAACATCATCACTACAACAGACACAAAACTACAACATCATCACTACAACAGACACAAAACCACAACATCATCACTACAACAGACACAAAACTACAACATCATCACTACAACAGACACAAAACTACAACATCATCACTACAACAGACACAAAACTACAACATCATCACTACAACAGACACAAAACTACAACATCATATCTACAACAGATAGACAAAACTACATAAACACTACAGCAGGCAAATAAAACCACATCATCACTACACTACACTCGTCATCACTATTTTCTTGTGAACCTCTTGTCACGTTTCATCAGATGTGAAAATTCCAACCAACCTAAATTACTTATACCCCCAAAAAAATTTACCTCATTAACTTCATCACAATAACTTTCAAAACAAAATGACTGACCAGAAAACTAGCCACCAGGAGGGATCGCACCTCGTCGAGTTCGAATATGCTAACTTCGATAAAAATTTCAAAACGACCCGACTTTTGGGAAGTGGGGCCAGTGGGAGAGTATTCTTGGGAGAATTCTCCAACTTACCAGCCTGCGCCAAAGTTGGAGTACGCCATGACGTCAACAACACCTTCAACAGGGAAAAATATAATAACTTGCAGGTAAACGGTGCAGGTGGATCCCCCGTCCTGCTGGGGTCATGCACCGATTACCCAGTTCTGATCTTCTCACTCTGCCAGGGTCAGACATTGGATGAGGTGGTCGAGAATCTATTTGTTTTCTCCCCCACTAAATCAATAACCATATTTCTACCCATCGCTGAAGCCCTAGCCGAGGTACACAGCCGGGGAATCATCCATAACGATATCAAAGTGGATAACGTTCTGCTGGAGAAGAACTTCGATGGGTCCTACACCTCCCACTTTATCGACTTTGGATTATCAAGAGTAGAAGGTGGCCACCTGACCTTACACAGCAATCCTAACGACAGCCATTACGCCCCGGAGTTGTTTAGGGGTCTCCCCTGCACCCCGGCAAGTGACATCTACTCGCTCGGAGTTATGATCTCCGACGTCCAAAATTGCTTTGATAACCTCTGGCCGCCAGGGGTTAAACGCCTGTGCAAGCAGATGCTCAGCCGCAACCCACAGCACCGCCCAAATCTTTCTAAAGTGATCGAAGTTTTGAGGGAATCCCTTAAGGAGCTCTCCCTCGAGGTGCTCTCTTCCTCCAAGGCCGACCCCACCTACCATGCAACTTGCGTCTAGTGATCAGCGGTGGGCACGGTTCCGCTAATCCGCTAATCGCTAATTAACGAAGCTAACTTTCTCGTCAGCGGATTAGCGTTTTCGCTAACCTTGGAAACCATTAGCGGACCAATTAGCTTTCGCTAAATTTAACTCCGCCAATTTTAAGTCCGCTAACAAAATTTATACATGTTTGGTCCTGTCTGTTGTAAGCATGTAACGCCTTGACACGTGTCTCCAACATCCAGTCAGGAATGCTTGGCTGACTGCGTGTTAGTACGTGTAAACGTGACTAGACATGATTTGTCGACGCCGCGCTGCAGCAACTGAGTGAATGGAATTTTTCGATTATTAAAGTTTAATACTTTTTTTTTACAGTAAATAAAGACTGTCAGTGTATGTTGAAAGAATCATAGAATGTAATTGTAAACTAATGTATAATTTCATTTTTCATTATTTGTTAATTTAATTAGGATTTTTTTGTGTCAATATATTTGGTTATGCTAAGTACTTGCATAAGTTCATAACCAGGATGACATCCAAGGTGTGCGCCAAACAAAATTTTCTAAAAACTTACTTTTCATTAAAGTTTAGAGTTTTCTGTTTATTTACATGACTAAGACCAACAACCTATATATATATAACAAAGAAGTATGTCTGTGTGTTTGTTTGCTTGTGTGTCCCCACGAGAATCTCGGAAAATACTTTACCGATCTGTAGATGGAAGGTGTTATATGTAGTGATGATGGATGATGTTATATGTAGTGATGATAGGTGGTGTTATATGTAGTGATGATGGATGGTGTTATATGTAGTGGTGATGGATGGTGTTATATGTAGTGATGATGGATGATGTTTTATGTAGTGATGATGGGGGTGTTATATGTAGTGATGATGGATGGTGTTATATGTAGTGAAGATGGATGGTGTTATATGTAGTGATGATTAGACAATAAAATAATAGCAGTTTAATGCTAAAAAAATATACTTTGCTTTACCGTTGTAGTGAAAAAGTCTTGAATAAAGACGAAAGCTAAGGTGCTCCGTTGTTTCCCTGTTCCCGTGTGATTTTATCAAGATTTATCTTATCCACGTTTTCATTGTGGATTTTCATGAAATATATATATATATATATATATATATATATATATATATATATATATATATATATATATATATATATATATATATATATATATATATATATATATATATATATATATATATATATATACAGTATATGAGTATGAGATAAGTTAATTTCAGTTCATTTACGTATCCATGCAATATTTGCTAAAGTTATCATATGTATTCCAATTCAAAATAAGTCAGGCCTCACACAACCTACTTCTCCTCCGCTATACAAACATCAACATCGTTTCCTGTAATACGATTGGAAAAGCTCCTGAGTTGAGGGAACACCTCACGCAAGAGCAGTCGAGGAGCAGAGCAAACACCAATATGACTTAATACATTGTTAACATCATTTGCTGCTGATGTGGCTGCCTGTTGCGTTGTTTACACTAAGTGCTGAGCATTTCATAAACAATATAGCTAAAAACACACACACACACACACACACACACACACACACACACACACACACACACACACACACACACACACATACACACACCCACACATACGTGTTATTGTTTTGGTCTTGTTCTCTAAAGACTATTGAAAGAACCTAACAGGAACAAAATGGTGCAGCGATTTATTAGAACAATTTATCTGTAAAAGACGTAGTTAACATGGTTGATTGAGGAGCATAGTGAAAATTATTTTTGTAGACTTATTTCCTTTGTTTTCGACCGTTTCCTGAATTCTTTAACATTATTGCATTTTCCGTCTTTGTTTTGTACTTATATTTGGTAAAAAAAAAGTTCAATGAATATTATAAAGTTTGTTTCTGAATCAATAATTCCACTGTCGGTGTCGAGGCTAATATTTACTATTGTTTATTTGTATATTAAATTAAAATATATGTGACTTTCTCGGCTTGTTAAGGATATTTGTCTTCAGATATGATAATTTCTTTGGAAATATTATTCTCTGTTTAACATTTATCAATTTTGAAGAAATTCAATAAGTCTCTGTCGTTAATTTTTGAAACAGGATTTCGAACTGTCACTATTCAAGTCTAGTTTTTACATTTTTATTAATATCGTGTAATCTTTTCTTTCTGTATAATCGGTAATCTTTATGCTGGGGAGTAATCAAGAGACATTTCATTATTACAGTGTCGTTATCACACAGCAGATACAGATATCTCCTATGAAAATGTCTACCTAACATGGGTTACAGTTGAGGTATTTCTTACAGTACGCTTCAGTGAAATTGGTCCCCTACAAATTGCTCTGAACTATTTCGAGTTTCATCTAAAAAAAAGTCTTCGCACCTCATCACTTTCTGGCATTTACAAAATCAGTAGCATTCTTGGTTTCCGCAGAATTTCCCTCATCACTCTTGTCTTCCATGAACTGCCTGTCATACATAAACAAAAACTTAACCTTTTAACAAACTGTTTTACCTGCACAATGTAATAATAACATCAGCTTTTAGAGGACTGAAATAGGATTCGGTGATACATAAATGCGTTTAAAGATGACTGTACAAGTTCTAACGGCATAAAGGAGTTTAAAGTCTTGTATATACCAATACAGGGCAATTGATGTTTGAATTTACACACACACACACACACACAAACACACACACACACACTATACATACAAAATGGTCATATGTGTACGTGTGTGTGTGTGTGTTTGTGTACCTTCCCTATCTCCCCCCATCCTACTTCACCTTTCCTGTCACCACCAGTCTCATCACCCCCCTTCCCCCGTTTTACCATAACCTCTCCCTACATCTCCACCCCCCCCCCCTCTCTCCACTCTCCTCCCTTTGCTTCACCCTAACCTCCCCTACACTTCCCTCTCCTCCCTCTTTCTCTGTTTCCCCCAACCTTCTCCCTAATCTCTTTTTCTTGTTTTCCTTTTCTTAAGCGTGGGAAGTCGAGCAAAGACTCGTAGCTCTGGAGACGGAAACTCCTGAGTCTGTGTGTGAGACGTCATGTAGTGAGAAGGTCAGAGTGTCATGGCTTATGTAACATCAGACTAGTCTCTTGTTTCACTCTAATAAACATATAAGTCATCTTAACACTACGTTTTATTTATTTTTTCCAATTCTGTGACTCAAGTGTAACTGTATCGTAATCCATACCAAGTATTTGTGCAAAACAACAAAATCAGAATATTGTTTCTCTTCAAACATGAAACAAAGTTCTGTGAAATTAGGTTTAAATCGTGCCAAGTTACCTGCAGTGCTGCCTGCAATGTGGATCAAATGGTGCAGAGTTACCCCCAGAGTGGATCGATTTCACTATTTGCAAACAGCAGGTTCAATGCGCGTCTAGTGATGGTCATAACCTTTATAATACTGGAACCATACGGAAATTACTGACCCTATATCTATGCTTCATTTTATTTAGATAATATGTAATTCTGATTGTAGGCGGAATCAGGATGAAGGATTGCACTCAGATAAGATCCCTTTTGTCCATCAGAGAATTTCTATGAAACTAATAGCATCTTGGAATAAGAGTCGATAAAATGGTTAAATGTCATGGAACCACATTTATTAGGTTGAGTGATGGTACATGGATTTACACAATTTGGAATGAAAATACGTATATGACAATCAGTACTCATGATCTCAAGGAAACACTATTTTAAAGCAGTTCGGTTCGACATTCATGAAAAGAACCAAAGATCAAAGAGCAGCCACTTTCTTAATTCATCTTCCCAGTCTTACGATCCAGCGAATATACTAATTGTATTCTCAGCTCGAGTCCTGCCTTTTAGAAGCAAAACGACGCCCACAATTATTTGTTGTGTGTGTGTGTGTGTGTGTGTGTGTGTGTGTGTATACATGTGTGTGTGTGTATACATGTGTGTGTGTGTATACATGTGTGTATATGTGTGTGTGTATACATGTATGTGTATAATAATAATAATAATAATAATAATAATAATAAACGGTTTTATTGAAAAAGTTTGCAGCCCGAAGGCTGAAAATATACATTGGACATAAATGACTTATTACATACATTGGTGGTTTAACAAAAGCCTTCATTAGAGAAAGGTGAAGGAACATATACAGTGAACATACAGATTAATGTTTACACACGTAGATCATGTGAGCTGAGGTGTTGAACAGCAGACACGTAGTGTAGTAACTCCCTCATAGATGGCGTTATGAGGGGCATCACGTGGAGTACTAGTTCCCTCACAGGTGGTGTTACGAGGGGCCTGATGATGGAGTAGTTACCTCACAGATTGTGTATGAGGGGCCTGATGATGTAGTAATTCCCTCACAGATGGTGTATGAGGGGCCTGATGTTGTGTAGTAATTCCCTCACAGATGGTGTTATGAGGGGCATCACATGGCGTAGTAATTTCCTCACAGATGGTGTTATGAGGAACTTCACATGATGCTGTAGCAACTCATTCACTAAGTGGTGTCTAAAGAGGCAGCTGAGAGAGGGGGTGTCGCGCTTGGCCGTGAACCTGACAGATGACACCGACCTGATAACGAGATCTGAGATTGCCGAGTTCCACGACAATTTAAATAGTGAGTTACTTAATGCACAAAGGCAGAACATACCATACAAAAAACTCAGATCAGACAACAATGACCCAAAATGGATAAATAATTATTTAAAGAACATCATTGGCCAAAGGAAGGCTATAGGTAGAAGGATAAATCGTGGCGAAATTCACATCTGGGACTATTATAGGGTATTGGCGAGTAGGGTTAAAACCGAGATAAGGAAAGCAAAGAGGAATAATGAGGTAAGGATAGCAAGGGAGGCGAAGACAAACCCCAAAGGATTCTACCAAATGTATCAAACTAAAACACGAGAAAAGATTGACCACGGTCAGACTCAAGTAGCTCACTGATAACGACGGAGAAATGAGCAATAATTTGAATAATATTTTTCAACAGTTTTCACCACCGAA